AAAGAAGAAGAAACTAGAGAGGATGGGATAGAGAATGATATATCAAGTGACGAAAGACAGGCAAAGAATCGAGCTAGGAAGGAAAGAAGAAGAAAATTAATAGGATAAGATAGAGATTGATCCATGGCACATAAGGATGTGCGGGAAATGTGGAAAAGGAAAAAGAAAGGGTAGAGCTTTCTGGCTGAGTTGAGGTCCTGCTGGGAGAGGGTCCTGCTGTTGCCACGTCTTCCGCTCTCTCTCTCTCTCTCTCTCTCTCTCTCTCTCTGTCGCTCCCTCAGTCTCTCTCTCTCTCTCTGTCCCTCGCTCTCTCTGTCTCTTCCTCCCTCTCTTTCTCCCCTTAATCTGCTTTGTCTCTTCATAATAGGCCTATTCGAACTGACTCTAAGCCTATTTTCGACGCTTGTGTAAAACGTGTCGCAAGACCCCAAAAAAAAAAAAAAAAAAAACAATTTGTTAGACCAATGATAATGGTAATGATTATTATAATCATAATGAGCGAGTTAACAATGCGGTTTTTGCTCAACAATCCATGGAAATGGAATTGGAATTCAAATTGGGCGGTTAGGCGGTGGGCGTGTGCGCCCATCGGAGCATTTGCATACCCTGTAATTTGTATTGTAAGAGGCATGATGCATGCTGTCTTTCAAGCAGGCTGAGCTTGAGCTATGCTGTATGTACATACGCTCTAAAAAGGTTTTACTAGCTGAACTAAGAGTGATGCAAATTGAATAATCGATAGTTATCGATTAATGTGCCGAATCGATTGGTTATACAAGTTGAATGGTAGAGTTATCAAAGATCCCGCTCATGCATCGATAGCTATCGATTGTGCAATAAAGGGTATCTGCTAGTCGTGTACTCCTCGTCTCTCTCCCCAGCCAACTGATTGAGTTTGACGCAAATCGTTTCAAATTAAGCACTTGACGCCTGATGTTTTGGTCTTGCATAATATCTATATAGATATTCAGCAAATCTCCGATAGACTTTCTCCTATTGAACCACATTTTCATTAGGCTCAACACAAACGATCTATAAACGTTTTGATTGGATATGTCTGGTTTCCTGGCATTTTGCTGCTGCAGTTGCTCCAGTTGCAGCTGCTCAAATGAAAGTTTTGCATTTGTGGCCCAGGAGCGGAGTAAAAGTGTGCTAAGCGCCTTTACTGGGGCCCGCATCTGAAATAGAGAACTATAATCATAATCTAGTATTAATCTAGTATTATTAATCATATTCTAGTATTATTATTGGCGATTGGAATCCTTTTTAGAGGTATATCAAGGCAGAGCTCTGTTCACTAATGCATCGCCCCGCTGCTCTATCGGGCCCAATCATCTGCAGTGCGCTTAATCCGCTACTGTTTGGCTGCGTTTGCGGCTGTGGGTGTTAAATGTTTGATTTTGTTTGTTTTACCTTCACTTTTGCTCTCCCTCTCTCACACACGCTCTGTGCCTCATTCTCTCTCTCACTCTCGCGCTCCCTCACTCTCTCCCTGTTCGCCCTGTCTTCGCATTACAAAGCACGTGCAACAAATGGAAGTAATTTGCATAACGGAAGCGAGAAAAAAAAGATTAATTTACAAAAATTAAATCAAAAATAAACCAAAAAGCAGAAAAAAAAACCGTTTCAACGCGTGCGTTTTTCAGCTTATTTAGCTAAAAAAAAATATATATAGCATTAAATAAAGCCCAGAATAAAATTAAATTTAATTCGGTTATTCAAATAGATTTTAATGCGACCTAAGCCAAGTTCCAAGTTCACAAATTGCACAACTCCCGCAATTAGCGGCAAGAATTTGGAGTCTGATGCGGAAACTCGAGTGCTCGGAATGAAAATGTTTCATTGGCCAAGAGGCGCTGAGAAAATGTTGTCGTAAACAACGAGCGTAATCAAATTAGCTGCGATTATTTATGGCACTGCTTAAAGCCATGCTCAAGGTCACAAATTCCAAGCCAGAGCTCAAGCTGAGCGAGCCCAGAGTTTTCCACATTATTCATGCTGTCGTGGGCGCAGCATCGAGAGCGAATCTCTTCAATGACGACGGACCAAAACCAGTTGGGAATTCTAAACGAAATTTGAGACTTTCACATCACATTAGACAACGATTTCTCTCGAAATTTCATAAAAAAATTTGACCATTTTAGTTATGTAGATTATTTCTGGAATTAGGACTAGATTTGCCACGCCCCTATGGTCGGATATATGCTATATATACTATATATTTGTATATCTCATGCCAATGGACAAGAATACACTCCATGCCCTTTATAAAGATTTTTATTGAATTGGATTTGTTTATTTAGTTTTCTATTCATTAAATAATGCTTTTATGTAATAAAATAAACAAGCACAAAATGTATGTATATATCTCAATTTATAGATATACAGTGAGTAAAATCCATATTCGTTTTTTTCCAACTTTGTTTTCCGGTTTTTGTATAATCTTTGTTAGTATGGTTAAATGTATTATACTGATATATATCTCATCGGAACAGTTATTTTTCAATATAAAATTTACCATTTACACTTTTTTAATTTCAGTTAATATTATATATTTTATAATTTGAAGCTGTAAAATAAAAAAGCGGAATATTAATGTTAATGTTAAAAGGCTTAAACCATTTGAGAATTCTATAAAAAAAAATTAGGAATTTGTTAAATAAAACTCAGCTGAGGCTCTTTAAGTCGAATGTCTTTATTTTATTCACATAAAATGGATTTTAATACTCTTGTAAATATTCATATTAAATATACTTATATATCTCTATATTAAAAAAAAAATGCGATTTAGTTCAATAAAAAAAATAAGAGACGCTTGATGAAATACGAAAAATTCATTTGAAGCCAAATGCAAATGTTTTCATTGCGTTGGGTTGGAGCAGCTCTGATCCATAGACATAGTAGAGCTCAAATGGGTGTGGGGAGGTGGGTGGGAATGAGGGAGTGAGGAGCAGGAAGTGGGCCTGGGGGCATGGGAGGGGTATACTTAGTAGTAGGGCGCTTGAAACTCGCGACTTGGCTGCGTCACGTAGGCGTTTTGTGTGTGGGCGTGGTCATGGAAAGAGCTCAACTGCTGTGAGTAGTCGAAATGTTGATGCACCTGTGGCAGCAACTGTTGGTACTGTGGCAGCAACTGTTGCTGCTGTTGCTGCAGATGCTGTTGTGCCAGCAACTGTTGCTGTTGCTCTTGTTCATAGTAGCTGGTTTGCAGCAATTGCTGCGGCTGCTGTTGCGGCTGCTGCTGCGGCTGCGGCTTCGCCTCCTGCTCGTACCACTCTCTGTGCATGCTGTAGCTGGGCGGCAGCTCGTACGAGTGCGATTGCATTTGCAAATAGCTCGACGAGGGCTGTGCGAAAGGTTGCCGCTGGTAGCGCTCGGGCAGCGCCTGGCCAATCAGCTGAGCACCTCGCTGACCAGACTCCAGACGGCGATCATGCTGCGCGCCAGCAGATAGACCGACAGCTTGGCCAAACTGACCAGCTGCTGCAGCAGCAGCAGCACCTGAATTATCGGCGGCAAATTGAAAATTATTCATATTCAACTGCTGCTGATGTTGATGTTGCTGTTGACGCTGTTCCATTGGAGCACGCTCATAGTATTCCATGCGGTAGGGTCCATGGTAATCGGCAATGCTGTTGCTGCTGCTGCTGCTGCTGCTGCTGCTGATGCTGTTGCCGCTGCTGTCGTAGGTGTGCTCGAAGGGGAGCTGCTGGGCGGGCTGCTGCAGAGGATTGGGCTGCCAATGGCCGGTGGTGGTGATGGCCTCAGTGGTTAGCTCGCTAGCCGCGGGCAGGTATTTGTGAGCGGGTCCGTTATAGCGATAGCCATTGCCGTGCCCGGGGCTGGCCAGAGCAGGCCCAGCGCTCAGCGGCTGTATGCCATGGACAACGGCCAGGCTGGGCGAGCAGGCTAGCAGAGCTGTCAAGGCGATGCCCAAAATACCCTGTCAAATGACAAAGAGTTATATCCGCTCCTCGGCAACGTCTAACGCGTGCAACGTCTAACTACTCACAGTGCTTGGCTTCATATTGTCTGTATCCTTTGGGTTGTCTGCTGCTTGCTGAATGCTGCGTAAACAATGGCTAGACAAGCGAGTGCGACAATAGTTTTTATAGTGCTGTGAATTTATCATCAATGGTCAAGATTTGACTGAGGTTGCGACTCTGCGTGTGTGTGAGTGAGCAATTGAATCACGCTTTGTTACTACAAAGTGTGTCACAAAAACAATAACAATAACAAAAAAGTAAATTATTTCTACGTTTGCGTATCTGCGTATCTGCTTAATCGCAATGTTTGCTGCAGATTTTCGCTTTATTTCTCGTGTAACTACGCGACAATTTGGCGTCTACTGGCTGGCCATGACCGTGGCAGACGTGTGAAATGGCTTTCTTTCTTGCCATTCAAGACATTTGCATTTGGCCCGTTTGTAGCCGGAAATGCAACAGCCAACAACAACCGCGCCAGCAATTGCATTTCATTCAGTTAGAATTCAAACATCGATAACGATTAATTTGCCAGCCTAACGACAAGATTCACATGCGTGGGCAGCACTTTTACTTTTCCAATTATATATTTTATTGTCTTTCCTTTTCTCTTTAACGTGCGTAAAGACGTTACACAATCGTAATCGATGATTTTTAAATGATAGGCGCGTGGGTGAACTATAATTGGTGCAACATATAACTAACAATAGCTACAATAACAATAACAACAACAACCGCAATTTTRAGTGGACCAGCAAAATATTTCAATGCCAAACTCATTGCGGCAGCGCCTACTTTATATACATACATATATACATATGTGTATAGAAAGTTTCTAAGCTCCCTGATTGAAATGGTAATGGAAAAATCAATAAAATCAATAACTGGTAGTGATGTGGCTGTATCAAATGACATATAATATATTAATACCATTCCATATGTATATTTATGCTAAATAAAACCGTTGTTGCCGATTAGAGAAACAATATTTAAATCCAATTTAAAATTTCCCAATTGTTGAAATATTTCCTTTGCTGGTATTTTTGCTTGGTGTTTTTCGCATAAAATAATACCAAATAATCGTTTGACAAGTGAGGCAAATTTAGGCTGTTATGTTTTGGTATTTTACACAAAAATTGTTTACAACATTTGCTCAAACGCTACGTCATTTCGTTATTGTATATATTTTCCTTGCTCTACGTCTCATTCATTTTCATTTACGTTCGAATACAATACAAGCAGGCACAATAAAAAAAAACACCAAAAACGTATCGATATGAGCATTATCGCGTTCCAAAATAAGCAACGATACCTTGGAAAGTATCGTCTTGAAGTAATCGCTAAAGTTTACCTATCGATGTACATCTTTTTTTACATGCTCACTACATTGCTGTGAAGTCGCCGCTTTCAAAGCGTTTACGGGAAAAAGTGCAAATAAAAAATAAAATTTTCAATAAGTGCAAGTGAACAGCCCAAGTAAGTACAAATATTTTAAATTGAAAATGCTGTAGACAAAAGAGGTAGAGCGGTTTTTGTTTTGTTTTTGACAATAATACTGGCCACGGCTTGGAAATATATACATATATAAATTTTTTTTTCACCGCGAAGACTAGCTGTGCGCGCGTGTGTGTGTGTGCCGTCAATTTATATGTTGGTGTAGTTTTTTTTTTTTTTCATTTCGGCTCTTGGTGCCGCTTCCACGCAATAGTTTTACATTTGCGCCCCATTTGAATGTAGTTGTGTCATAAATTTGTTAATTTAGTGTTTTAACACGCCACAAGTGTACATGGAGCATACATATAGTGGTACGCACCAACACATATCCACACACACATACACACACAAACGAACACATATTCAAAGTGTAAGAAAAAGAGAGTGCGAGAAGGCGCCTGTTTGAAAGAGGAGAGGAGTAACGCATACATGCGCAAAAGTGCAATCGGCGTTGTTTCTAAGCCCGAAAAACAGCAGCAGCAGCAGCAACAGCAGCCGAATTTGATTACCTCTTCAGTTTTAGCTGCCGCTGGCGTTGCTGCTGCATTCCATTCGGTTGCTCGCCGCGACGCGCCGTCTGGTCGTTCGCTAAACTGGCACGGGGCACGAGGCCCAGCCTTGGCCTAGGCCCAGGCCGGTCCCCGGATGTGTGTTCGTGAGTCCCGGATGCCGAGCAATCGAGCAATTGTGCTCGAGACATGAGCGACGAGCACACACGAAGCCTTGCAAAATGGCTTCAATGTAGTACATAAAATGCCTGCACTCGACTCTGTCCTGTCACAGTGACGTCCGAACAATAAAGCACATCAGTTTGGCATCGCATCTAGCCGAAACACTTCGTTCCTGCAGCTCGGCTGCAGCTTGAAACAATTTTCAGGGCACACTTTGTTTTTTACATTTTCATTTTACAATTGTCGTTTGTCAGTGTCTGTCCACATTTGTACATAGGAATTTTTACATTTCATTTCATTGTGAACACTTCATGAACGAGATTCAAAACGAAATCATTGTAGAGATTTCAGGCATCCAGGAAGCTATACAAAACGTGTAGGAAAATATAAAAGTTTATATATTTTATGTATATATTCAAGGTGGGTTCAACATTGATTTGGAATCATGCCCAAGCCGGACAAAATAAAGCAAAGGGCGAAATTTAAAGAAGAAGACGACGAAGATGAAGGATCATCGGATATTGACGAAAAAGTAAGTACAGAAAATTCCAAAATCAAAAATGGCAATTTAACACATTCATGTATACATATATGTATTTGTATTTTCCTATCCAATAGGATTCTGAGGATACAGTAGTGCAGGAGCGTGAAAGCCAGGATAGCCAGGATGATGGCGAGGACATGGAGGCGGATAGCGATGATGACGACGACAGTGATAGTGATGACAATAATGAAAATGGTGGCAATGGTGGGAATAGTAACAATGGTGGCAATGGTGGGAATGGTGGCAAAGGTGGCAATGATGGCGACGATGACGACGATGACGATGACGACGACGACGACGACGACGACGATGACGATGATGACGACGATGACAAAACAGAGGATGAAGACGCTGCTGAGAAAAGCAAATCGACAGCTAGTGATATTAAGAACAATCAGAATTCGAAAATGCAGCAGCAGTCACAGTCACAGAATGTAGAAGATTCCGATGAAGATGACGACGAAGAGGAAGACGACGATGAAGACGAGGACGAGGACCAACAGCAACAGCAGCAGCAGCAGCAGCAAAAGGAACAACAACAGCAGCAGCTGCAGCAGCAACAACAACAGGAGAAACAACACAACAAACATAAGCAACAAACACAGCATCGTCAACAGCCACAGATGCAACATCGTCAACAACAACAGCAGCAGAACAAACAGAGCAACACCAGCGGAGCTGCGGCCACTGGTGCTGCATCAGCCGCTGCCGCCGCCAACACTGCTGAAGATCGCACAAGCGCTACGAATCTGATCATAAACTATTTACCACAGGATATGACAGATCGTGAGTTGTACAGATTGTTCAGCAGTTGCGGCTCCATCAATACATGCAAAATTATGCGTGACTATAAGGTGAGCCAAGGGGGTCAAGGATGCGGCCACTGACGTGAGCGGTGGGTGGGGGTGGCAAAGTAGCTGTACATCAAATTATGTGTACCTGGTCGCTAGTGCCCGGGCCATTGTCTATGTTTGTCCTTCTCACACATTGTTAGATACACATACACACACAAACACACGCATGCACTTCATTGCATACAACTTCCTCCCCCAGCCTCTCTCTTGCTCTATTCAAAAAAAAAAAAAAAAGAAGAATCTAATATGCATCGTTTCCATCTCTTTTTTACAGACGGGATACAGCTTTGGCTACGGCTTCGTTGACTACAACTCGGAGGTCGACTCTGAGGAGGCAATTCAAAAACTTAATGGATTTTATGTGCGTAATAAGCGTTTGAAGGTGCGTCCAACTTCACGAAAAAAACAGTCAGTTATTGAATTGAAATGTTGCTAAGTTTATGTAATTGAATTTGATGCAAATAATTATTAATGAATTGTGTTCTCCCGTTAGGTTTCATATGCACGACCTGGCGGGCAATCGATCAAGGACACCAACCTGTACGTGATCAATCTATCCCGCAACATTAACGATGATCAGCTGGATAGAATATTTTCTCCATACGGTCTGATCGTCCAACGTAACATCTTGCGGGATAAACTAACCGGTCGTCCACGAGGCGTAGCATTTGTACGGTAAGAGCCCTATAAGATAATATGCAGCTGCTCCACATATGTAAATAATAGAAATATATCATGATTCTAAAGTAATGCACATAACTAGATATAGAGGTATCATAAGTGTAATGTGATTCAAGTGTTATTATTTATATTTTATGATAGAGGCATTTGTAAAAGAATGTTTTGTATTTTGAAATATCATGTCATACTTCGTTTGTCATTTGTCTATTTGACAATTGCCTAAATGTTCAGATGAGTTGTATTTCAGTCTCCAGTCAAGCTATGACAGCTTTAAGTTAAAGATTGATGTAAAACTAAAGATCAGCTAAAGATTGATGTAAAGTTTTCTTGTTGACTTATGTACTGTAAAATATTTGTATATATCGATTATAAAGATTAGAATTTGTGTAAACAATTTGTTAAGTTTTACCCTTAAGGCTTAAGCAAGTTGATCATCAATCAGTCAATCAAATAATTAAAACTTTGTAACTATAGCTGTCCTTTTCTTGGTGTTTCATAACCCAAACTCATTGAATGAAGGATTACCACATAAACTATATCTACTCCGATTCCGATATAGTCCTACCTAGCTAGCCTTAAGTCTAAATGGCTTGATCCCATAACCTTAATTGATCTAAAGATTTGTTAAGAGCACTTATCACTTACTTTCAACTAATCAATAATGAAAATGAATATCAGTTTAGTCTCCTCTCATGTCTAGACACAAAGTCAGATAGTTGGGCACTTCCCGCATAACTAACAAAAGTTGACCAACAATCAAGCAGGCAGTCCATCAATCAATCTTTTCGCCTTATTCTTTGCAATTCATATACTCATGCTCTGTTTACTTTCACCCATGCAGTTATAATAAGCGCGAGGAAGCACAGGAAGCAATTAAGGCACTCAACAACACCGTGCCGGAGGGCGGCTCACAGCCGATTTGGGTGCGCCTGGCTGAGGAGCACGGCAAGGCGAAGGCTGCACAGTTTATGTCGCAAATTGGCGGGGGTCCGCATATGGGACAGCCGCAGCCACCGCTGCCACATCACATGGGCGGCCATATGCAGCAGCAGCAGGTGCCGCATCATCCACAGCAGATGCACCACCAACAGCAGCAGCCACACCATCAGCAGCACCATCCACAACACCATCATCAACATCAGCAGCAGCATCATCATCATCAGCAACATCACAGTTTGCCACCGCCGCCACACCACCACATGCAACAGTTGCATCATCATCCGCACGGAGGTGGCGGCGGAATGGGTGTCGGTGTCGGCGTCGGTGTCGGTGTCGGTCTCCCACAGCCGATGCATGGCGGTGGCGGGGTTGTCGGCGGCGGCGGCGGCGGCGTCGGCGGCTATCACCACAATATGGCACACAGAGGTAGATCAAATAGAACAACACGATCTCAAAAACCGCATCCATATAACCATGCACAGAAATTTATTTAAATCAAAATTAATTTCTTTACACAATATTAGCTGCATCACACAGGTGAAGTGTTCATGCTGCCATTGCCAATCACTATAATGCCAATGCCCCGACCACAAGCAGAGCGGCTGCAGCTGCAGCAGCGACAGCAGCAGCAGCAGCAGGAGCGTTGTCTGCCGTTGCTCCGCCAGCAGCAGCAGCAGCAGCAACGCCAGCTGTGCGTCGGCAAAAGCGTTGCAGTTGTAACTGCACCGGCTCCCACATCGTCGGCAGCAGCAGCAGCAGCAACAGCAACAACACCAGCAACAGCCACAGCCACAACGGCAGCGGCGGCGGCGGCGGCACTGGCCAACAACAACAACCCAACAACAACAGCACTGGCAGCATCAACAACAACAGTAACTTCAAATACAGTAATTCAACCACCACCACCACCACAACAACAACAACAGCAACAACAACCTCATCATCAGCAGCATCAGCATCTGCAACAGCAGCAGCAACAACAACAACAACAACAACAAACACGAATACAACAACAAGAACAACAAATTTAACATTACACAGCAGTAGCAATGCGTCGGCAGCAGTTACAACAACAGCAGCAACTGCTGCAGCTGCAGCACTAAGTACAACAAGTGCAACGATGAACATTACAGCAGCAGACGAAGCTGTAACGGTAACACAAACAACAGCTTTACCTGTAACAGCAGCAACAGCAGCAACAACAACAACTACAACTACACTAACTGCAACAGCAGCAGCAAGAACAACAACTTTTGCAACAAACATAGTAGCCGTACCCGTGGCAACAACAACAGCAAGAACAACTGATACAAGTGAATACAGAAATGCCACCGCCAACACATATTCTCGACTGCAACAGCAGCAACAGCAACGATTCCGACAACAACAGACACAACAATGGCCGCAACAACGGCAGCAGCAACCCCATCGACAACAATTGCCACAGCAACAGCAGCAGCAGCGTCGACAGCAATACTTGCCGCAGCAACAAGATCAATTGCCACAGCAGTATCAGTCGCGTCGACAGCAATACCCTCCGCAGCAACACCAGCAATTTCCACAGCAACAGCGACGCCAGCTAAATGTGTCGCGGCAACAACAGCAATTGCCGCAACGACAGCGACAGTCACAGTTGCATCCAGATCAAACTCCACCAGATGTGCTGCTCGAGCGTTTGCAACAACTGTTTGTTCCGCAGGATCAATTGCCGCAACGGCAACAACAACAATTGCCACAGGAGCAAGATGACTTGTGTGCTGCACAGGAGCAAACGCCGCAACAACAGCAGCAACAATTGCCACAACAGCTGCAGCAGCAAGAATTGTTTGTTCCACAGGAAGAATTGTCGCAACAAGAAGAATTATTTATACCACTGGAACAATTGCCGCAACAACAGCAGCAAGAATTGTTTGTTCCAGAGCAACAATTGTTTGTCACACAGCAACAATTGCCGCACCAGCAACAATTGTTCGTTGCGCAACAGCAACTGCTACAGCAAAGCGGATGGCAAGTGGTAAGCCAGGAAATGCTGGCACAGCAACAATTGCTGCAACAGCAGCTGCTGCTGCAGCAGGACTTGGAACAGTTGCCACAACAGCTAGACCAAATGCTGCAACTGCAACAACCGATGCAAATGCAGCAGCAGCAGCAGCAGCAACCTGACCACCAATTCCCTCAACAACAACAACAACCAACACCACCAGTACTAGAGGAACAGCCTCCAGCACAGCTTCCACCTCAACCGCCACCGCAACCCCTCCAGCTGCTTCCAGTACCCGCCTGCGCTTTGCGGCCCGTTTACGCAGTGGATAACAATGGCTATTTGGTTCCCACACCCTACGCCCTGGTTCCCGCCCAGTTTGTGCCCCAAGCGGGGGCAACAACAACAACGACGACTACAACCACAACAACAACCACTGCAATGCATGGCGTCAACTGCGGCTACTATAATTACGCGAACGCAAGCATTGTGAATAGCTTTGTTAACTATGATCACGATGCGAGTCAGATGTGCGCAATGGGCATGGTCTATGTCGAATACAAATGTGCCTCACCCGGCGAGGTGGCGGTAACAGCTGCCGCCGCAGCTGCAGCTGCTGCAGCCTTAGCACAGACGCAGGCGGCAGCTTATGCGATCGCGCAGGCGCATGCACAGGCGCATGCGCGGGCCCAGGCAGTGGCACGGGCGAGGGTGCAAGCGGAAGCGGAGGCGGAAGAGGAGTCGCAAGCCGAAACTGATGAAGAAGAGCGAACAGAAGCAGAAGAGGAAGAGGAACCGGAAGCGGATGACGGGGCAGAAGCCGAAGACGAGGTAGAAGCTGGAAGTGAGGCAAAATCAGAATCAGAGGCAGAGTCAAGAGCAGAGGCCGAAATAAAAACAGAGGCAGAGTCAAGAGCAGAGGCCGAATCAAAAACAGAGGCAGAGTCAAGAGCAGAGGCCGAATCAAAAACAGAGGCAGAGTCAAGAGCAGAGGATGAGATAGAAGGAGTGCAAATGGATACGGAAGCGGAAAATGCTGTCTCAGAAGTCGAAGATGGGACAACAACAGAGGAGACGTTGCAATAAAATAGCGCCACACGTGAAGGCGATGGCACTACTTGGAACAGATATACGTGCAAATATGTAGAATTAATTTAATTTCAAGTGCAAATAGCAAACATTTACTATGTGTCTAGTGTAATAATTGTTGTTATCGTTGTTGCTGTAGTTGTTGTTGTTTGTGTTAGAACCAAAATGAATCTAAATGCTGAATGTAAGGAAAACCAAACTATAGAAATACGATATATGCTACAGATTATATATACAGATACAAATATATATATATATATACATTGATATAAGAGAATGCAGAACGATGTCAAGAAATGGAAATGAACTAAAAGAAAACATTTTACAAGATGTGGCTGTAATAAGAGATATGCCTGGAATGAAGGGCATATGAAATGAATTCATATATATATATAAACGTGTATATTTATATATGTATTTAACCACATATGTGTGTGTATATATAGAGATTGAACTATATATATATCGGAATGTGTGTATATCAAGAAACTGAACTCAATATAGCAATTGGCAAGAAGCGAGAATAAGAAGAAGAAGAAGCCAGAAGAGCAGAATACACACAAGATAGATAAACTAAATGCAAAGCAAATACGTTTACACACGAGCTTAAAAGATGATGTATAGACATACACATACACACCCACACACGCAAACACAAACACACTTACACACGAACATATACTTACACGCATTTATTTTGATATTGTTTAGCAATTGATTTAAAAATTTATAATTTTGTTGAAATTCAGCTAACTAAAACGATTTTTGTTTTGTAGCAAATGTACGCACCTGGCTGTAAAATTGTAAAGGCCCCCCCACACACACACACACACACTCACACACCCACACACATACACAAAGACGAATAGGAACACACACACGCAAACCAATTGCTATAAATTTGTATGGAAAAACAACAAAAATAAATAATGCAATTTCGAATGCAAAAAAAACTAGAGTAAAAATGTTAAATATAAAT